TTCCTATAATCTTGGTCCATAGGCTTGTAGTCCACCCTCCTCCCATAGTTCGACCCGACAAATATGTGAGAGCATATATTTTGGCGACTAATGAGCGGGTGACACGTGGAAAAGGAAAATTCTTTAAATCAATTAATTATCCTATTTAATTAGGGGAATTATATTTGATTTAATATAGGCATATCTCCCTAAATCAATTATGAGATTTCCACTGAATCTCATTGATTAATTCAAATCTCGTATTTTTGGGTAAGAATAATCCTAATTAAATAAGGATTATTCTTCAAACCCTAGCTAATGTTGTGTCGGATTCACTGCACCAAAATGGATTTAGCTGCATCCTCAACTTGTGATACTCGCAAGTGCACGAGCTGTTCGGTAGTATAGCATATGTAAGTGCGAGGTCGATCCCACGAGGATTGATGATAGATTGATTCAATTAGATTCTCTGTACAAAACTGAAATGGAAACAAGATTTAATTGTAAAAACTACAAAAAATTGAAAATAAGAAAGAAAGAAAAATAACTAACTCAAGCTAATAAGTTCCCAAGTTCAATTTAGATTAACGGATTGATTATAGCTAAAGTATGATTAAGCCATGGTGTGTGGTCCGAACCTTGTATTCATAATTCCCTAATTTGATCATCTGTTGTCTAACCTAAAATTAAGCATTAGGAATCCATTAAGCATAGAAGAACATTTTAAACAACCAAGTACGTATCTAATCCAGATTGTCGAATTCATACACATTCTTCCTATTCATAGTTCAATTCAATTATTTTGTCCATCTCACTTAATTGGATTCCCTTATCTTTCCCTATCTTTTCCTATCTTCATTCAATTATTTTCTTAATCATTTCCCATCTTGTCTTGTTTCAATCACGTTCTGAACCATTGCTCATCTTTGTTCATCCTTTGTCCATCTCACTTTATTGGATTCCCTTATCTTTCCCTATCTTTTCCTATCTTTATTCAATTATTTTCAAACATGTAGGTCATCTCATCCTCTTGTCTATTTAAGAAATGTTATTCTACGCAATTGACCACACAATCTCCTTAATTCTCATTCTCCTTCTTATAATGAATTCACGTGGGAAGGCTATACAAAATTTCTTCAATGAGGATTCTGATGATGATAACCCTTCATCAATAGAGGGTTGCAATGGCCATTCAACACCATACATTTTTGTTGGAGCAATATGCTCAACAATCCAAACAAGGTGGTTCTGTTATAGGCCATGAATACAAGAATTGGAAGAGAGAAAAACATCATAAGAGTCTCATGGAGGACTACTTCTGTGAAAGACCACTTTATTCCCAAGTGGACTTTCGCAGGCGGTTCCGCATGAGAAGAGAGCTTTTCTATTGCATCTTGAATGATGTTGTTGCACATGAGCCATACTTTACCCAAAAGATAAACGCTTGTGGATGACAAAGTCTATCCCCAGAGCAGAAGCTAACAGCTGTTTTTCGAATGCTCGCATATGGATGCTCGGCAGACTCTACCGACGAGTACTGTAGATTGGGTGAATCTATAGCCCTTGAATGTTTGCGAAAGTTTTGTTTTGTTATTGAAGCTGTGTATGGGCAGTGGTACCTCCGTTCCCCAAATCTGGCCGACCTTTACAGGCTCTTGCACAAGGCTAGTCGCAGAGGATTCCCAGGCATGTTAGGTAGTCTTGACTGCATGCATTGGGAATGGAAGAACTGCCCCAAGGCTTGGGTAGGCCAATTTACCGGCTACAAGCATAAGCCAACTGTCGTTCTAGAGGCAGTGGCCTCGTATGACACTTGGATATGGCATGCCTTTTTTGGAGTTGCCGGATGGAACATCGATATCAACATGCTAGCTTGTTCCCCGTTGTTCAATGATGTAGTCAATGGAGTGTCTCCCCATATCCAATATGTTGTCAATGAAAATGAATACAATCTGGGTTATTACTTGGCTGATGGTATATACCCTCGTTGGGCTACATTGGTTAAGACAATTTCCCAACCGGATACTCCAAAAAAAAGACTATTTGCCCCAAAACAAGAGGCTTATAGGAAGGATGTCAAAAGAGCCTTCGGAATACTTCAGGCTCAATAGGCAATTGTTAGGGGACCTGCACGTATGTGGCGCAAAGAATAACTTCATTCAATCATGATGACGTGCATAATATTGCACAACATGATTGTTGAGGATGAGTATGAGGATCTAGTTGCAGAATCTGATGATGAAGACAATTGTCCACGAACATCTAGAAGAGCAAGAGCAAGACTTGCTTATGAGCTTGAGCCAACTATCACGTACGATATAAACCAAGATAGACAAACTATCTCAGACTACGTGATTCAGATTATTTTTCTTTTTCAATTTCAATATGAAACAATTTGTATGAAATATTTCACACTAATCACCCGTTTCATGCAACAGTTATACCGTAAACTCGAAGAAGTTATCCTAGCAAGTAAATCACAAAGCTTAACCCTTTAAAGAGGTTCAAGTTCTAGTATACGTGTTGTGTGTGTGAGTTTAGTATATTATTGCCTATCGTAATAGAAAAGGTTGTTAAAAAAAAAATGGTGCGCTACCTTCTCCGCGTGGATAGGCCAATATACGGGTAGGTGCGGTTAGGTCGGGTTTCTACCTCATACCGAAATTGGTACTATTCAATTGGTGCAGTTTGGTTAGGTTTTGGAGAAAAAAATTTATGAAACCAATTAGTCCAATTTAAACCGGTTCCAGTGCAGTTTTCGGTATTTGGACCATATGTTTTTTTTTAATATAATAAAATACAACAATTTTTGTTTTGTTTTTTGGGCTTAAAAATTCACAAATGACCCAATTTCATGCAAAGAGAGATGATTGGGCCTAGAAAAAAAAGGTGCTTTAAAGTTGAGCTTGGAAAAATATTAGTTATAAGATTAGAAATTTAGCATTGGACTTAAATAACTTTAAAAAAATTAAAAAAAGACACAGTGGGTCTAATCCGGTTTTATAAGGTGTGAAACTGATACCAAAACCAGTTTAAACCAGTCTATTCCGGTCCGTTACCGATTTGTTGACTTTTTAGTCAACACAATTTTTTTCCGGTCCGACTTGTTATTCCTTTTTCCGGTCTCAATGCCCACCCTTAGAGCACCTCCAGCGCTGCTCTTTTGCCGGGCAGGAGGCGGCCTAGGCCCAGCATTTGGTTCTTGCGCCCAATGTCAAGACCGGGTAGTTGATGGGGTCCACACGCTTGGGCAGGCCCAAAGGCAAATCTTGCATGGGTTTGCTGATGTCATCGATGACATTAGCAACGGAAAAAAAAACCAAAATTTTTCAGAATTTTTATATTTATAAATAGCTA